CATTTCAATCATTATACTAAGAGAAAAGTAATTTAATTTTGATCGAGGTGAGAGTTATAAACTTTTTTGAAGAATTCGCTACTTGGATTTCAAATCTCAATTGCGTGACCACGTAGCAGCATAGGTCAATCGCGCGATTGAGTCATTCAGGAGAAGGGTAATCGAGCCTTAACCCCGGAGATTACATAGAAACGGTTTTGTAATCTCATCAAAAATTCCTCGTAGTAATAGTATAAGAAGTTTACGTGTAATAAAAATTTAACGTAAATATTAAAAATTTACGTAAATATTAATGAAATAAATATGCTGAAGAGAGTTCACACATCACAAACAGATACAAAAATACGTAGATGTGTCAAAACATGATATAAGGAATTGATTCTACGCAAATGTTATGCATATTTAATCTGCAAATATAATGCGTCTTACATATTCTGCAGCGTTATACATAATTATGCGAGGTTTCAGGCAACGTCAAAATAAATGTGATTACATACGCTAATGTTAACTGTGCTTATGAGAGTGTGCATATATTTCAAGACCATAAGGTCACGTTATAAGCATTAAGTGTAATCACAAATAATCATGTTATATGCGCGACATACTATAGTATGTACATAAAATTTTATGCAATTTGTGATTAAACTCGTTTGCTTCACACGCGCAACACTAATAAAGTTTGATTGTTATATTCAATATAAATCGAGTAAAAAATTAAAGTTACATGAAACTATTCAATATAACAAGATTGGTACGAAAAGATTCTTTTTACGGTTTCGACCGTTTCGAATTTTATGCATCGCCTGAAATTAAATTCCTTTCTCAATTTGTGCATTAATTGCATACTGATATATAGAGGGAATAATTATTTTATAAGTATATTTAACAAGATACAATGAATACCGCTATAATGCAGTAATATGACGAAGTTCTAGGTTGCAATTTATGCGATGTGCAAGGTGAATCGACGTATTTGTCGAGAATAGGCTAGCTGGGAAAGAGCCGCGCTCTCAGGAATTAATGGGCTTCTCAATGCGATATATAATCGATGAAGCCAACCAACATCGCGCACTCGACCTTTAACGGGTACAATGAAAGAGACGTGAACTCGAATGCTCTAATTTCATGTAAATATTATGGTATTCAAATAAAAGTTATTGAATACCGTGAGATTTTCCATATATTCATGTCTTGCGAAAAGAATAATTTTTGTATAAAGAAATCTTTTTGTGATTTTATTTTGTCATTTAATTTTGCAATAGTCCATTATCATTCTACTGAAGAAAATATTTTTTTATAATAGTTAAGTGATATATAAAAATGCAAAATTTAATTTTAAAACATCTTATACAATTTCAAAATTGATCTCATATGTTGCCATTATTAAATATATATATTTATTTAAACATAAAATGTTTAAATAAATATAATAAAAAAAGAGATTATTGTAATATTTAGATATCTAAATTATATATTTATAAATAAATAAATAAATATTATTTATAAATATATATATATGTAAACTAAAATATTACAGTAATCTTATACGCATCATCATTATTGCATAAAATATTTTGGTATTTAAATCTGCTCTTTAAAATACAATTATCTCTCTTTCTATAATAAGTTTTAATACGAATCTATATATAAAAAAACTATGCACAAATAAATATATTTTTAAAGTCGTGCAAAAACATACAATGAAAACAAATTAAAGAGATACTTCAAATTTGTTAGCAAATGAATAGAGAAGGCAAACGGCGTACATTCATGACAAAAATCGGAAATTCAACCTTTAAGTATGATCTTTTCTGCTTAAGTTGCACTACGCGTCTGTAAATGTTTCACAAAGTGTTGCGCCGTAATACGACTTTATCCGCTGCATCACGTTCTGAAAATTCGTACTTACGACGATCAAAGGAGGTATGGTTACCCCGCTGCGATTGAGCGTGATCAGTGCTAATGGTGAGACTGACATTTGCAGTTATTGTCTGCGGCGCAATACGGATGCAATGCACTGCGATGTTTATGGGAGCATGCAACCTACTCGCCGTTCTGTGTGAAACCATGGGAAGTGTAAAACTTGTATTTAGTTAAAGTTCAATTTGTCCAAAAAAGAAACAAACCGCGATTATAATCACATATAAAAATAATTTTAGAAAAATCTCGCAAATGGGTACCTAAAGAGTATTAGAAAATGTGTCTGACTTATATCTTCTGGAGTGTAAAATTCTTAAAAGAAATATCAATATCTCAACATAAATTTATATTTTATTACAATCCATATGAGCGTGTAAGGTTTGTAATATATAGCATAAGAAATTCTCTAAAAGCGAAACAACCTTGGCCGTAAAAGTAGAACAACCTTATAATGCTTTGTAAAAAGGTTTTTCTGAGAAACGCGTGCAATAATCACTGCACACCCCCGAGAGTGAAAGGACCGCGCCTCTTCGTATCCGGCACTCTGACATCTCCACTAATTATTCCTTGACGATCGTTACGAAACACATATTTTCCATGACACAACTTATGACGCTTCGCAATAATATCATAATCGCCTTCATATTTTTTTCTTCTTTTATGCATACGAAATTATTTCAATCTACACAGGTTAAATTGATATTTTATTTCATAATTTATATTCCTGATAATAATTTGTTAAATGTATATGAGAAAGAAAAAGAAAGAGAGAGAGAGAGAGAGAGAGAGAGAGAGAGAGAGAGACAGTAATTAAACAAATTTTTATTATTTATGTCTAATAAAAGTAATCAGAAAATGTTACTTCTTATTTCTTTATGATTTTACCTTTTTATTGCAGTTGTCGTATATTAATCCATTATTAATTTAAAAAATTTCGTTTAGCTATAATACACTCAATTGTCTCGAAATGACAAATGTATTAAATGTTTAAAATAATGATACACAAAATAAGAAAAAACATTTGTAAAATCTTACAATTTTTATTTTCGAGAAAATGTACATTGTAAATTTATTACTCCGTCCAATTTTTATTACGTAAATAGTCAATATTTTATAGACAACCCAATTTGCGGATTTGTTAAAAATAGTTAAATCGTTAAATAGAGAGATGGATCGTTGAAAAAGTTACATTGTTAAAAATTGTTTTTGCGCTTGTTTTAACTTCTATTCGCCGCAACAATAAGTTAGAAATTTCAATGCACAGTATTTTGTAAAAAATAGAAACTGGTACCATTTAAATTTTACGATGTTTATTTTTGAATTTTACGTCGAATACAGGTTTAAAAAACCAAAGTGTTCATCTCGAGAAAATATGACTTTTTCCATGTGTCGAGCGAGATTGGAAATCGATGCTATTTTTATCTCGCAAAAATAAAGTGGAAAAATAAAAGGTAAAAAAAATTAAAATATAAAAAACAGTCTGCATCTTAGCGTATTCAAATTTTATGCTCACCGCCACATCACCAGTCCATGTTCTCTTCGCTGAAGAGATTCTATTCAATTCCATTCAATTTCGTCTTAGCACGTGCGCTTAATCTTTTTATTTTATTTGTAGTACGTTGAGGAAAAATGTAGAAGCAGTCGTATGTATTCAGTATTCAGAAAAATTGTATAAGTCTTTTGTAGATATGAGAATTTATAATAAATTTAACAAAGTGAGACCTCTTTGTTTTTTAATAAACATACTGTAATAGAATGATCAATTCAATTTATATGAACTATATGTAAAAAATGGAAATTATCTCATACACATATACATACATAATTCGTGCATAATTATTCGTTTTCAAATTATCATATTCATCTCGCAATTTCACAAGAAGCTCTCTATGCTTAAACGAGAATTATCCGCTTCTAATGGAGAAAGCCAGCATGGCCCGACGACTTTGTAATTAATTTGATTTAATTGGCATCGTTAGCGCTCGTTCATATCAAAGCTAATACCTAGACGACATGTCGATTAATCTGTTGAAATAACGAAGCTTATACCTTTAGATAGTATTTTATCTTTTAATAAATGAACGTTTCGCGTAAAACGATAATAAGAGGAATGTAGTATTAATGTGTAATTATAAATTGCAATTTTATCGATTTTATACATATACTTCATTATAATGTCTCTCCGAATAATTGAATATAATCAAGTAAAAAAATACTGTGATTGATCAATGTTTTATGTAACTCAAGCGAGTACCTTTTTGTGGTTCTATTAGCACAAATTAAATAGTGAAACTTTGAAATAGGTCGTATCGGCTTTTAACGCGGACATTAGCAAAACAAATTTCTTTATTACAGAAGGCTAACGCAACAGGCGGTCCATTTGCAACCTAATGTTTCATTAAAAGAAAGTTTTTGATCTAGTGTTTCTGTTCTACGGAATTAAGATAACTTAATAGTGAATATATGGCTAATAACTATATGAGAAATAACTTTAACCTTCTAAATATATTTATATTATGTTCCTTTACTATAATATGTAAAATGCAATTATTATTTTATACTTAACTTTTTCACTTGGAAAAAAAATTCGATAATAAATTTTAAAACAAACTTATTAAAAAGATGTTACAAAAGAATAAAGCATACTAGACATACTAAATAATTTACAATCTGTGTTTTATAATTAAGCACATTTTAATAAGATGCAATTACATATAAATAAGGAAAATAAGAAAATCTTCCATACAAACAGAAAATTCATAAAGTACAATGTTAACGAGTTAACAAGTTCTTTAATAAATAATTAATCCTTTCGAAGTAATTCGTAAATGGAGATAGAATATTATACATCCTTTTCATTTTTCTCTTCTCTTATTCTCCTCTTATTCTTATTTCTTACTATTTGTTTTTATGCTACAAAAAAGAACATTATATAAATATTATAAAAATACGAAATTAATATTGATATTGCTGTTTTCAACGATTTATATTAGAATTTTCATTAGTTGTATTATATTTATAATTTTCAATATTTTTTACAGAATGTTTTATTAAATAAATTTATTAATTACGTACACAAGCCTGGACAATTAGAGCATTTAACCTTGTAAACTTATTATCGGTTGCAATATTCATTCGGCGTCTCAATAAAAGTATTAATTATAGATTTTCGATACATGTAGCTATATAAATTGTACATATATTACAACGTTTGTTATGCCGTAGTCACCTGAAAAAATTAAATTTATTAATATGTAATTGAATAATCATGATCATAAAGTTTTCATAATATTGTATTTCAGTAAAAAGTAGTATGTAAAATTTCTGATTGATATTATTTGAAATATTCAATATTAAATATATTTAAAATGTTCATTAATCATATTTTCATTAATCGCTTCCTCACATCAAAAGTGAAACAATTAAAAAATTAAGTTTCCCAGAAAAGGCAAAAAAAGTAATTTTTAATTTATCAGAAAATTATTATGATTGATCAAATATCGATAATAAGGATATATTCTTAATATGATTAGTTTACTTTGATGATTGATAATGTTTATCTAAGTTATTTATGAAACAACTCGAATACATAAATTCGCTTTTCTGGGAAATTTGATGTAATATCTTAACTGTATCACTTTTAAAATAAGGGATTAATATCTTATTAATTATTATATATAAATTCCTACTTATATTAAAAGTAACAGTTCAATACTTACAATTGCAAAATTATCCATATAGCCATCTTTTACGAAGATTATAGTTGATGTGTGCATAAGAATGTTGATATGTACAAGAATTTAATAAAACAAAATAAAAGAAATTAATTAAAAGCTATTATTAAGAACTATTGTTGATTATAAAAATGTTTTTACCTTTTTTTTTGTTTCGAATTAGTTGTCTTAAGTAAGACAATCAATTACTCTAAGTTCGCATTATTCTTTCTCTTCTTGGTTTATTCATTGTCTTATGCATTAATTCAATTAATCGTTTTGTATACTGAAATCATATAATTCGTATCAGACGATTTATTAATAATAGATTAAATAATTGAATTGTGAAAAAATTAAAATTCAGTAATTTACATGTATTCTGCACTAAGAAAATGTAAAAAATTTTAATAAATATTTATAATGTCAACTAAATATTCACTTCTAGTAAATAAATATGTATTCGATAAAAAAATGATAGTTGAAACAAATTAATGGTTTCTTGTACCAAATATAAATCTTTATCTTTATATTTAGTAAATATTTAGTTGGTGCTACTCAAACAAATAATTTAGTACATTTCATTGAATGTAAATATTAGCTTTCGTAGAGCTAAACCAATGTATATAAATCTTCTATTATTATACATGTTTACAGAACAGTCATGTATTTAACATGATTAATAATTATTGCTGTGCATTTCCCATACATTTCTTGTATGCGTTCATTATGCTCTTACTGTCATTATAATAATTATTTATAAATGCTAATTATAAATAAAACAATTAAATTTTAACTGGCTAATATTATATAAAAAGGCAATAAAGATTTAAAGATTAAAAGCTAAAAAAGACGGTCCAGAATACAGAGGAAAATATAATTGACAATATAATCTATTTAGTAAATAGTGAAAGGTATGCGAATAGACACGAATGAGTTTTAAATACTGATGCTTTATTTTATATAAAGTATTGTATAAATGTATAAACGCTATAAATATGTGGTATCTATCTATGGTGGTGGTGGGGTGCTAGTCGTGATCGCAAAGAAAGGGTATGACAAGGGCGGGCGGGGTCGGGGGCCGGCGACGGCGAGCCATCTATTTACATTCATTCACTCATGAGAAAGGCTGACCTACCATAATCAACCGGTCTCTCCTTTTCACTAACATATAACACGATTATATAATATATGTGTAATTGTGTGAATATATACGAGTACACATATAGAAATATAGTGTATGTGTATGTGTGCGCGCGTGTGACAATGTGTTCATATATATATACATATATATATATATATGCGCGGAAGTAATAGGTAATAATATGTATACATATATATATAAGAAGAACATATGTGCAACGCGAGTAATAATAATATGTATGCTTGGGGTGCGGCGGTAAGTATAACAACATGCCGGGAACGTGCGCGTAATGCGACCGACCCGTGGAAAAAGAGAGAAATAGATATGTGCGTGAAGAGCGGCGGCCTTACGGATGGTGGAAGACGTAAGAGAAGAAGATTCAGCCGGAGCAACGGTAGATGTTCAGAAAACAGAACAGATCCGGTTGGTCCGATGACGAAGTGCCAAAGCTTGTCCACTTGCTAGGTCCATGATGGTGCAGCGTGATACGCGTGTGCACGGGGTGGTTTTGTGACACACGATTGCAACTCGGAAATGCGCATCGTATGTATTGTTGTGATCCAAAAGACGATGTTCGCTAATTTGCGGATGAAAGTTCGTTGAGAAGCAGCAAGGTGTTCATGTGTCGAGAAATCGGTAAAACGCGGCCCGTGCCGAGCTTCCTTTATCATTGGAGTCTCGTGATGAACGGTAATTGACTAAATTTTACCCGGTTGTAGCGGGTCGAGACTGGGGAAAAAATGACTCGAGGCCGCGGATCACGTGTGGCCGAAATCTCAGTGCCATTCTCTTACAATCTTATCCGTCTGTCTTCCGGATCGTGGCGTACGTAAGTACGACCGATCGACCGTTCTGAGTGTATTCCAAGTGTCTGACAATCATATCACTATCGCCAAAGGTGCTCCGATCATGCTCCGAGATTGGACGAAGCTTTGGGAAGAAGACGTTGAGCGCGTTTGAGGATCGTTCGAGACCGGTAAGTGACTGTGGTGGGTTGCCGCCGTCGCCGAGCCGAGATCGCTGGGGTCTTAAAACGTCTACCACTTGCCAATGGGCGCGGGGATGACAGCTCCGTGAGAACCGAGTCCAGCATGGATGGCACCAGACGGTCCGTTGATCACAGCAATTCCGGCATCATGGCCACCAAGGGCACCACCTCCGAGTCCAGCACCACCTCCGATGACAGCGATTCCAGCACCACCAAGACCGCCACCAAGGCCAAATCCAGCACCACCACCTTTTGAAGAAAATATCATTAGCAGGAGGCTTAAATATTTGGTAAGCGTAAAAAGAAAAATGAGAAAAGATCTTAAAATTAGGAATAATTAAAACATGTAATTTGTTTATTTGATAGAGAATGTGTAATTACCTAATCCACCACCAGGCGCGGCAGCAGCAGCAACTCCAGAGCTTCCATCATCACCGTTGATGCCACCAGATCCGGCAAAGAAGGCAACACCTCCATAGCTGGGTCCAACGAGGTTAGCGGTGGCCTGGGATGGTCCTACGAGGGTGGCGGTTCCCTGGGACGGTCCAACGAGGGTGGATGGGCCGGCAGCGGGTCCTACAAGACTGGCGGGTCCAGTACGAGGTCCACCAACGGACTTGGCTCCCTCCTGAGGTCCTACGAGATCAGATGGTCCGGTCTGGGGTCCTACATTGGCCTTGGGTCCCTCAGCGGGTCCGATGTCAGACCTGCCACCAATGACTCCTGCGGGGGAAGAGCGAGCGATTGTTCAGCATCAATATGTCCTACGTTGTTGAGTTAATAAAGAGCATAGATTTAGTACGTAAATACGCACCACCAGAGACGATCTGCTGAACTCCAGCAGCACCAGCCGCCGCCGCCGCACCAGCAGCATAGCTGGCACCAAGACCGCCAGATCCCAAGCTGGAGGCACCACCCTGGAGGGAGGTAGCGGTTCCAGCACCAGCGGCGAGTCCACCACTCAGACCGGCACCACCACGGAGTCCGTGTCCAGTGATGGCCAAACCGGCACCACCGTAGCCACCATAGCCACCATAGCCGCCATAGCCTCCTCCTAATCCGCCGTGCGCAATTCCAGCGCGGGCCGTCGCGACCGCTAAGCAGGCGAACACAATCTAAAAGAAACACGCGACGTCACTCAACGTGACTAAATTGACAGTGAAAACGTATAATCCGATATTCGATCCGATATTCGAATCTGTTAAAATTACTGAAAGTTTTAAGCGATGAATATTACGTGAACTCGAGTTTCAATTTACGGAAGCGGTTTACGTGTGCACGTCGTTGGGACTATCGCTGTTACGAATCTAGATTTCCATTGGCTTGGCGCCGATTACCGAGTCTGACTACTGCTCGATCTGTGCAATATAATCGCGGCTTTCACTTTCGATTTCCGTAAACGTCGGTTCGCGAACTCCAAAACGACGGAAACGATCTTGCGCGCGAGAGGTTTCTAGATCGCCGAGATGATCTCGAAATCTAGTTGAATTGGTGCTGCTTTATTGCGAAGGCGGAACGATACTACGATAATTACGCGAATGAAAACGCAATGAGAAAGCGTCCGAATGCATCAACGGAAAAATCGACGAGATTAGATACCCGTAACTATGCGCCGTAACGTTTCGTAATCAACTTGATAGCGAACCCTACCCTTCGCGTCGGTTATTCTGGTCACCATTCCTGATTACCGTATTAGGAAAGTTCTTCTAGACCCGTTAATAGGCCGTTGCACGCGCAACGCGTATCGTCGGACCGTAAAAAAAAAGTAGTCGCGATTGCATAAAATCCGCGCGAACGACTAAACGTGAAATATTGCACGCGATTCATAATTAACCGATAACCGATCATATTCATTTCTCTTAATTATGAAAAATTAAATCCCCTGATTTGAATCGCGAATGTCAATTTCAGATACGCGAGTTTGCGTATCTGAAATTGACATTCGCGATTCAAATCGACCATTCGCTATTCAAATTAGGGGATTTAATTTTTCATAATTAAGAGAAATCCGCGGTTTAATTTAATTGGATCTCAATTCTTAGAGTTTCGTAGGAATTTCCTGAGATTAAAAAAGACAAATCTCAACAAGTTACGTCACGTACCTGGCGTTCAAAGTCGTAACGCTTGCGGCTCGTAATACGGGAAGCGGCGTTTAGAAAGGAAGCGTTTCGCGCGATCGTAGAACTGTCGAGCAATCGGCTGATTAGATATATCGGTGTATACGTAATCGATATTTCGCGATCGCGTGCGAGCGGTATTAGACGGCGCGTGTGTCACGCCCGGTTTGAGACCGTTGCAAACTTAAATGGCACCGCGGCCTGGAATTATGCATATCTAACGACTACGCGAAACTTTCACATCCCGTTTACGCGGAATGAACGACTATCTCGCGGCCGCGCTCGTGTGACGTGGTCGACCGAGCGTTCCCGCGACCTCGCGATCGGAAAAGGATCAAACGTGTCGATTTCAAAATCGCTTTGCGCGATTGAGCGCTGAGTATATTTCCATCGGCCCTGAGAAATTCCGAGGTCTGGCGCAACGGTTAAGATATCGTTATCGACAATGTTATTGATAATATAGGTAATTAATGTTACAGTTATCACGAAAATAGAACGTAAGTTAATGCGCATTACGTTTGCAGGACGGTACGAGGCAGAACGTAATTCTGGCGTTATCCTGATTCAGTGGATATTGTGTGACGTGAAATGACGGGGAAAATCAAGAGAAATGCAACGGCGGAGGATGCAAGAGTGACGGCAAGGTATGTGCAATCCCGAGAACGCGAGATTCGTGAATGAAGATGCGTCTACGCGGAATAGAACCGGTCGCGTGTTAATCCGCTCACTCAATGACGATGATGATACTACCTACAACCGGTTTTCGCCGAGAGTCGGCGCGCGATGCGGTAAGATTTCTTTACTTTATGAATGAAAGTCGGTTCGTTTGTTTGTGCGTCTGTCTGCCTGTGAAGAAAAACAGCGAGAGAGTATCCCAACCGTGACATTGAATCATCGTCGGTTTTATCGCGGACTCAATAAGAAGCGAAGAAACGAAAAAGTACAATGGAGACATTAATAGACGTATTATCGACGTATGTATTTATGAAAGAAAGCTCTTGAGCTTGCAAAACGATCGTATTTACTTTCCGTTTGCAGATATGTCACCGTGTTC